AAAAATCTAGAGAGCTGACTTGGGATTGCTACTCCAAGGAGCGAGAGCCTGAGAGTTTCTCATAAGCTTGCTGAAGGACTGTGGGGAGATAGGTAACTGTCAAGAAATAAGCCTTGTATTGCTGACGTGAAGCCAAAAGGCTTAAGGTCAGAGGGCCTTTGAGCATGCTTGAGAAGCTGTTCTGACTGAAGAATTATATCCTGTTTCCAACGTAAATCAGCTTCCCTGATACTATGAGTTCTGTGTGGCTGTTCCAACAGATTCAAGGAGTCAAGTAGCAGAGCAGAATGGTAAATACTAGAATTAATAGAAGTGGATACAGGAATGTGAGTGAAGATGTGTCTGACCATGTGGAAACAGGGTTTGTGCGGACTGTTACCTTTGTGAAGGTTAGTGGAGGTGTCATCTCCATGTCAGTCCCACTTTTTCTCTAGGCATCATCTAGTTCTTCTGGTCTCAGTCTAGAAAAAGCTCTGTTTTTGTGTCGACAAACTAATAGTTTGCTTGAGTCTTTCATTTCCTTTGATCTTCTTTGCTCTAGATGAGAAAAGATTAATAATTTGGTCTTAGATAGCCTTCGGATTCTACTCACCAAACCACGATGTGGAGCATTGTTTTTATCAACTCTGTTATTCCAGTTGCTCCAGATGTTTTCCATGATTGTGGTCCTTTGTCCAGTAACTGACTCCTGTGGGTTACTTAGATATATCTAAGAAGTTTCTGTAATTGTTCCCCTTGTCAACAATGTGTGTATGAGAGAGAGAGAAAGAGAATATGTACAGCACATGAAAAAAAAAATACGTATACATACAGATGCTCACAACTTTGCTGGTATATACATGTGCATGTATTCACTCATATACTTTCCCTGACCTGTATGGCATACTGTCTGTCTAAATAACCACTCACTAATGTTTTTTTACTACTATTTTTGGAGATGTGCATATATTACATCATTTGCCATAGTTGTCTTTTCTTTTTGTATGTATCTCAGTATCATCTACCTTGGCTGTGCAGTACTGACTTCCTCATGTTGTGAGTTAACTTTATTTTCTTAGGTTTTTGGTTTGGCTTTTTTATAAAGGTGTACTTTATTTAAAAGTACAAAGTTATTTGTCCTCATAAATTTAGAAAAATTTGAAAGTTCCATTTTTACCTTGAAATTAATAAAAAATATGAGACATTACTACCACATGAGTTAAAATAAAGAATATTAGTTGTTGTTATGTACTGTTGGGTTGCCTGTGACTCATATTGACCTATGTACAACAGCCCTAAACCCTGCTCTGTCCTGTGCCAATCTCACTGGCTTCAACACACCTGCCCAGATTACCCCAGACCCCAGTCACTGACTCAGTCTACCTCACAAAGGGTCTTACTTTCCTGCACTGTCCCTCTATCCTCCCAAGCATGATGCCCCTCTCCAAGGATTGGTCCCTCCTTGCAGCTATGTCAGAGGAAGCTTCAGAATCCTTGTCTCCAAGGAGCAGCCTGGTTTAACCCTCTCTAGGACAAACCTGTTCATTTTCTTAGCAGTCCATGGTGTATTCAATATTCTTCTCCAACAGCACAGCTCAAAGGCATCAATTCTCCTTCTATCATCCCTAGTCATTCCAGCTCTCTAAAGTATAGCAAGTGATTGCAAAAAACAATACAATAACAAATAAAATTGGTATGTATATAGTCAGCAACTTATCTGATAAGACATTTTAACTATTTCATATTTCACATTTCTGTTCAGCACAAGTGACACTGAGCCTTGTGCCACTGGGATCTCAAATACCATAATGGCTACCCATGATGGACAGTGTTTGATGGAGCTCCTAGTTTAAGATAGGGTTGGAAGCAGGAGTGGCATCCACGTCTTAATCCACATGCCTCTGGAAACTCTTACGAACCTGGAGAAACAATAGTTATAGAAGGGCCTCAGGTCTTTTGTTTATAGGGT